AAATTTAGTTTTATTATATTTTTTTCATAAACACTAACCTCCGCCACCAGGATTGTGCTGAGCACACACAAAACGATTTTAAACATATTTCTGTTTTATTTTATTTATTTTTTTTTTTTCACTATTCGTAAATATCCTTTTAGGTCGCTCGTTTAACTTCGCGTTTGCTATGCCGTTCGCTATTGTCGTTTAACTGAATTCGCAAAGCGCCACAACGTTTTTATATTAATATTTGCTAGCAATACTTAGTAGATATCTTAAGAGTTTCTTATCTTGCATGTGTTGTGCGGTGCCATCAGATAATTAGTAACATATGTAAGGCATGTACGTTAGGTGTTCAGATGCCCTCATATGTACGTTTCTATTGGCATATGATAAACGAGCACTCACACACATATGCACAACTGTTGGATGCTCACCGTTATAAGTGTTTGTCGTGTATTTGCTTACTTTTTGACTTGCGTATTTCGAGTAGCTTTCCCCATATAGCCCATATATTTTATGATCTCGTTTATATCGTCGACTATAAACATTGTGGAACATAAAAATTATAATCATGGTGCCCATACTCATATATTTATTTAAGTATGTTTACAATTTCTTTCATTGATTTAAAAATGTGTGCTTCTAGGAAGCTCTATCTAAAGCGAATCTCTAATGCAAATTGTGGWTTTGTGTGCGTGGGTGAAGCTACCCACTGGAAAAGTTAACAGTTTTTCAGCGTTACGACTTCTTAAATTACTGTAAATAATTGCTCTAAAACTATCCATAGGTAATAATAAATATAATATAATAATTTGTTATATCTTTTAAAATTATGTTAAATTTATGATTAATTTTGAAAAAATGCACAGCGAAAGCTTTTAAAAGGTCTGCTTATAATTTTCAATACTTTTCATTTCTTGAAATATTAATGTAAAATAAAAATTTTATTGAATGAAAACATAAATAAATATATGTATGTTGAAGGAGGAACTTTTTGAGAGCGTAAATATATTATATATCTATGAAAGTCAGCGAAAACCTGAAAATCTTTCGCTTAAGCAGATTAAAAGTACAAAAATGTATCGACTGAACAAAGCTCCGTAGCATTTTAGTAACCACCCTAAATTTAAACGAGTATGTATATATATATTTGGAGCTTATATGTAGGAGCTTTTTGAGTGCTTAAATATAAAAATGTTGTCTGTTCTTAACAGGTTTAGAACTCAAATAATAATTTAAATTATTGAAATAATTATCAAAAACGAAGAATCTGCTTAGCATTTTTTAACCAGCAAAATACTTATTTATATACTGAAAAAATTCTTTTTGACGGCTTAAACATGTATATTTCGATGAATTTTGAAATTTACTTCCACTTAAAATCATGAAAAATCTCAAAAAATAATTGGGGGTGTTCAAATAATTTTATACTCGAGAAAGTCCCGTAGCAAACTTATTAACCAACA